ATGGTTACAGGTCTCTGCAACTGTGTGTTTCCTGGGCGAGAGAGCGCTATGGGGTCCTGGGTGTCCGTGAGTGACATCTCAAGCCTCACTTTTGCACATTTAAACTCCTCAACCAGACTAGGGATAGGCAATGACAGTATCCAGTCGCTATAGAGTCCAGTGCTGCTGAGGCATTCAGGAAGTCCGAGCCACTTCTTAACGTAGGAGCTCACTAGCTTCTCTAGTCTATTGGTATGTTTGAGTGAGACCTCGTACATCCCAGGCTCTTTATGGGCTTCTCTAAGACTGTTGGAATTTGTTCTCCACTGATATAGAATTGCTCAGTTGTCACCTTTCCTTTTATGATGGAGATGCTGCAAGATTTACTTGGCTTAAACTCCATTCTTGCCCATTCTGTTTTCCTGGAGCTTCTGTAGCAATCGCCCAGTACATGGTTTTGTTGTTGTAATGATGATCATGTCATCCATGTAAGCTCTAATAGGAGGAAGACGAAGGCCACTCTTGAGTTTCTAACCTCCTACTACCCACCAAGATGCCCGCATGACCAACTCCATTGCCATGATAAATGCCAGAGGGGAAATCGTGCAGCCTGCCATAACTCCAATTCCCAGGTGCTGCCAGGCTGTGGTGGTGTTCTCAACTGTCACACAAAACTGTAAATCCTAAAAGTAGGTCTTGACCAATCTTGTGATGTGGTTTGGTATGCTGAAATAGTTGAAGGCCATCCACAAGATCTCGTGCGGAACTGACCCAAAGGCAATGACAAGGTCTAAACAGACCACGTGAAGGTCTCTTTGTTCTTTCTTGGCAGTTTGAATCTGGTGCCAGATGACGCTAGCATGCTCCAGGCATCCCGAGAAGCCCGGGATACCGGCCTTCTGCACTGATGTGTCAATATAGTTGTTTCTTTGCAACAAAGTAGATAGTCTTTGGGCCAATAAACTGAAGCCTACGTTCAGCAGGCTGATCTGGCAAAACTGGCTGATGGATGAGGAAATGAAATAAAGACATGAAATGGAAAAATAGAAAACCAAAAAAGAAAACTTTACATATGACAAAACCTACAATCCTAGGTCTCTTGGTGCATACTCAATCATCCAGGTAAGTAAATTCCAAAAGGGGTTTTATGTTTTCAATGGGAGAATGTTTTGTGTCTTGAGTGAGTGATGAAATGTTTCTCCCATTGAAATCTAGTGATGTGCAGATTGATCCTGAAATATCAATTCCTTCGATACCAATCATTTATGTTTTAGAATCGATTCTCACATTAAAATATCGATATTTTATAAATTTAGAGTAAATTTGTAGTTTAACATTAACAGGAACACAGTAGACAGAAACTATAACATTCAGATTGTCTACATTCAAAGGAAAGACTTCCTCTTCCCCCTTTCATAGTCATGTGTGAAATACAGCTGTATAAATGTCTCGCAGCGTAATTTGGAGTCATGTACGGATTTTACCTCCACAATCAGCTGAGACGTGGTTTGCGGTATGTGGCAAAAAAGTGCTCTAAGAGTGAGGTGTTGTGGCCATACTAGGGAGACATTCAAAAGGGTCTGTTGGGAATAAATACATTTTACAGGGTTTATTTATCGGATAAAATACGTTAAATGTCACCGTTATTATTGGCCCGCCCGAAAACAGCGGGGGTGTCCAAATTCAGAGGCTGCTTCCACCTGAGGACCCAGCCTTCGCAGTCTAGAGAAAGCCGGGTAGTACGTCACGAACTCCCTTGGTGGAGTGAAACTCTGCTGTCTGCTCCTTGCTATCTAAAATATAACCGGGCACTGACGTAAACTCTCAACCGTCTCACTCTTCTGTTTAATCATTTAATAATAAGAGCAATATTAAAACTAAGTCGCTGCCGCCAATGTTGGAAACTGGAATTGGCTGGGCCACGCTATGAATTCTGCGATATGTTTTTTCAATTTTGTTGTCCGGGTGGAAAATCGGGACAAATTCAGGAGAATGGTGGCTCCGGGAAGTTTTCGGGAGGGGCACTGAAATTCGTGATTCTCCCGGTAAAATCGGGAGGGTTGGTATGTATGGTTGTGGCAACATCACTAACCTTGTCAAACACCTCAGATTAAATCATATCACAGAATATGACAAGCGTATGTTGAGGCGAACTGAAGAGGAGGACAGGGACAGATGCTGCTAGGGTGAGACAGACGTCTCTCACGGAGTCCTTTAGTGCTGCAGGCAGGCAAGGTGTTCAAATAGCACACAACTTCAGTTTTTTTATTTCTATATGATGAACTCTGCATTATTAAGTGATAAGAACAAGTAATCTGATGTCCTGTAATCATTATGATGTTATAACTTGAGATACAGTAAATAAAATAAGTTTTTGTACAAAGTATCGGTATCGGATCAGAATCGTCAATAACACCCTGAATATTACTTGGTATCGGATCCGAAAGAAAATCAGTGGTATCGTACATCACTATTGAAAATGCTACGTCCAAATGAACAGAATCAACCTTTAGGAAACTCCTAGGTACAACGCTTAGGGACAATGACAGATCTAATCTTAAAAGTAGAGTGTCTGTTTCGTGGATCTAATCTGGGACCTTGTTCCACAAAACAGGGGTTCTGCCTCCCATTCTACTTTCAAATACTTCAGGAACCATGAGTTAGACAGCAGCCCAGGTGTTTCTGCTTTCTGGTTTTGACCCACATACGGTTGTTATCTGGGTGACTGTGTTGGATATATGAAGTGTATAAAGAGAAAACTGTAAGACAATTGGTCCTTTTGTCTTCTTAAAGGCCTGTATGTAAAACCACAACAGCTTCTTCCTGTTATATTCAGTCTGTTCTTGTAGTCCGAAGCTGATGAGACTTTTCACCACAGAGAGTTCTGGTTTGGCCAGTGACAGTGTTCATGTTGTGAGAACTTGTTTGCTTGGTGCTCTGTGGTGAAGTGTGTCAGACTGCACTTAAAGAAGGTGGCATTTTTGTGGTTGTGCATGTCCTTCTTCACACAATCACCTACCAGTTCTCTGCAATCATTTCCTGTTTCTCAGCAGATGTGTAAAGGAGTGGGAAAAAAACTCTAAAAACATGCTGCTAGTCACAAAAGTGATGATTAATGTCAGTTTAATGAAAAATAAAATAATAAAATTAAAATTGTTTTGCCACAGCTGTAGTGTAAAGTGTGAAAACAGCGCTGTTGCTGTTGCATCTCTTGTAATTTGTGTTTCCTTTGTTCTGCAGAAAGTGATCCAGCTGTAATTTACTCAGCAGTGAGAACTGAAGATGTTAGCTATGGACAAATAATCGTCACACGAAAGATGAAAAGAGGTACAGCTGCTCTTCTTTTTACTTGGGAACTTTATTTTAATCTAACTTGATTTAAATTACCTTAAACAGACATCAGGATTTTGTTCAAGTGGGTCAAAAGCTATACTAGACATAAGCAGAATAGCTTTGATTCAAATGTGGAAAATGTAGAATAGCACAATAGATATGCTAAGTGGAGGCAGACATTTTTTACCCTTTGAGTATGAAGCAGAAAATAATTCATAATAACTATTAATAATTTTTAAATAAGGTGCTTAATCATATTGGTTACAAAAATAACCAAACCAATAACACTGTCCCAATCCTAATATTTTAGTAAACTTTGCTGTAGTGCACCATGTGCATTACATAGTACCTGCTGCAGTAACATTTGCCACACAGTGGAAAATAATAGTTTAGCACAAATTAACAGACTAAAAATAAATCTGCTGCTGTTACTGTACTGAACCATGGCTGCTTGATTTCACACATAACCTCAGCATTTGACTCAGTAGGTCAGAACATTTTTATCAACAGCTGTTTTCAATCATATTTTAGAAATAAGCTGTTTGGTCAACATAGATAACATATCATCAGCTCACTGTAGATGTGGTGCACCACAAGGTTCAATTTTAGGTCCTTTTTTTTCTATGTGCACTTAACTAGGTCAATTTCACCCACCTATGCCTCGTTTCATCACTACACCACTGTTCACCTTTGTTCTCCGAAGTCTCACTGCTCGCCTATGAACAAGAGAGAGAGAGAGAGAGAGAGAGAGAGATGGAGAGGGAGGGAGAGAGGGAGAGAGATGACTTTGACAACTTTATTAACACCACATTAAAAACAAAAACCACAAAAAAAAAAAAAAAACTAACCGAATACACAGTTGCTACTACATAATCAGCAACATCAATATGCACTAACCATTTACTAACCCTAAACCAACACCTTGATGCATGCTCAATCATCCAGGGAAGTAAATCCCAAAAAGTTGATTCTGTTCATCTGGACATAGCGTTTTCAGTGGGAGAAACGTTTTGTCACTCACCCAAGTGACTTCTTCGGTCTCGGCTGGCTGGGTAAACCTGCAGTCAGTTGCCCAAGGATCTGTTTCTTTAAATGGGCAATACATTACATGTATAAAGGCTAATTGATGCTACTAATTTTCAGAAATGATAAGAGTTATGTTGGAGGAGTGAAGGTGAACTTTTCAAACTGTGAAGAAAGGTGGAACTAAAAGGGATTGAAGTCCCCAGAGGAGCTTACCTCTCATTACATCTGAGAGTGGGTAAAAGGTCTTAACATCCAGGCTCTTATGTTTACAGTGATACAAAGTGCTATAACAGAGTGTATCTTTATGTGCTTTTGCAAATAGTAAATCCTATTAATTTTGTGCATCCCTTTTTTATCCCTTTGTGAAACCATAAAGGTAAAACTGAGTATTAAATCCACATTAATATAAATAGTTCTTACCTTTTTACCCACTCTCCGATGTAATGACAGATAAGATAGACTTCAGTCTCATATACAGTTTGAAAGGCTTTCCTTTACTCCTCCAAACATACCTATTGTCATTTTGGTACAGTAACTCAAACCTTGTGTCTTCTGACCATAAAACGTTTCTCCAGAAGGTTTTTGGCTTATTCTACATGGGTGTGTGTATTTAGTTTAGGATAAGCCACACACACACACTAAGAACAAGTGTCCCATCTGCTCCTATAGAACACAAAACCTGTCTAATACCCACATAGTTTAAAAAGAGTCCAGATTTTTATTCAGAGAGTTAAAAGCATGCTCTACTCTCAGACGGGATGCCGACTATCCCTTTAAACACAACATCAGTCCAACCCTCACCTAACATTTGGTTCTTCCTAGTCTTCCATCTTGCCGGCTTGGCTGTACCAAACAAAAAAAATAATCAGAACCAGAGTCCGTTCTTACTTCACTGAATACTTAGGACCAAAAACTAATGAGGGTGCAGAGGATTTCTCCCCCAGAGATTTCACCCACTCCTGCAACAAAGAAAATAAACCCACTAGCCGCGGACAACAAACCACTAAGTGCTGAAAGGACAGAAAGGACATCCCTCCCCAGTGCTTGGGTCCAGGTGGGCTCTCTATCTGTTCATGGCTATTGCTCCATGTATAATCCTTTTGCATTTAGGGGTAAAGTTGGAGGCAAAAAACGCCAGTCCATTTCAACTCCCTCATTCCAACCAGAGAATGTAAGTTCACCACCTTAGCACAGCTATATTATAGCTGCTTCTTCCCACAAGACGTAAAACTAGCAATGGTGTTCCCAAGGGGAGAAGTAGGTCACTCCCCTTCAGGCTGCTCCTCAAAGGCAGGACTGACCATCAAGGAGGGAAAAACATATTCGCTGTCATCACCCCATTGATCAGCTAGGACCTGGTTTTCAGCAAACTCTCAGCGATGGTGACAGGGATTGCCAAATTTCCTCCACAATCCTAACCAGAACTCTGGAGGACTTAATGCCCGTGACACAACCAAGTGTTCCCATCGACATCCTTGTGAGATGACCCAATTTGATAATACCAGCCTCCACAAATTGGCTCTTTATTATGGAATAGTACTTGGAACAGAAAGTAATTAAAAAACAGCAGCTCTTCAAAAAGCTATATCCCAAGTCTTGGGTCAGGAGTCCGTGTGACTCTGCCAGGTGTTGATCACGAGCTGTAAAAAGGTATAGGTCCAGACAGCCTCAGCCAATTTGAGGGGAAGAAGCTGTTTATCCAATCCAAGCCAGCCCACTCTCCAAAGAAGTAACTGAGCAGAAGTCAGTTATCAGTAACCACAGCCATTCAGCAGCCTCTGTGTCATCTGTAGTCTAAGAGCTTCAGTTCTGGACAAAACTTCTATTAGTCCTTGTCCCCCCTCTGCCATGAGAAGATACAAGGCTACTACACAAAGCCAATGCTGACCAGACTAGACACATTTCACCAGAAGGCACTGCACCGCTTTCAAAAGACCAGGTGGTAGCACTAAAACAATGTCTGTGCCATAAGGATGAGGCTAGATTGTTAACTATCAAATCCTTGCCCTGTGGGAAAGGTAGGGGAGCAACCAGTTCCATTTAGACAACTTAGTCTCCACCTTTTCCCACACTCGCTCCCAGTTCTGCTTCACAGTCATCACTCCCCAAGTATACCCCAAGAGTTTTAATACCCCTTCAACCCCACTGACCCCAGGGAGTCTAGGAATATGGGCAAAATTCCACTGCCCCATTAAACAGGCCTCACTCTTCCCATAACCCACATAGCAAAATTGGTATTTCCCAGATCTGGCCAACACAATGTGCTTACACATGGCCCACAAACCACAAAGAATGACGGCCCTTTGGTGGCCCAGATCTTGTTTGCCAGAGGTGGCCCACACATGGGCCAGCAACAGCAGACAATGACTGAGGACGCAGCTCCCCCCGAGTCCTATCTAAAGTAAAGTCAAGACAACAATTCCATTCCCCACCCAACACAACACAGTCCCCTTGATCAGCAGCACTTAATTTTTCTTTGAATGTTTTAAAGAAAATCTCACGCTCAGACCCTAAGGTTGGTGCATAGACATTAACCAAAGTAAAAATAAAACCTTGTATTTCAGCTTTCACCATAAGGCCTCTGCCCTTTACCATCTCCATGTTGAAAGTAATATTTGCTTTTAGACAAGGAGAAAATAAAATAGAAACTCCTGTGCTAAAATTTGTCCCATGGCTAAGAAACTGCTGCCCTCCCCATCTTAGACCCCAGTCTATTTCATTAGTACTGTCAGTATGTGTTTCTTGGAGAAAGACTATAACTAGTCTCTTCTGCTTGATTTCTTCTGCTAATAAGGCTCTCTTATTTGCATCCCTGCACCCATTCACATTGAAGGAGGCCACCCTCAACCCCCGCACATAAAAGGAAACCATCATGAAAGCAAACAGAAAAACCCATCAGAGATGAAACACCTAGTGTTGTATGATCATGATGTCTTATTTTGAAAAGTTACTTTTCTCTATTGATTCAGACGCTTTAATTCTTTCCTCAGACCAGTAACATGTTTCTTCAGGCAATAACGCTTTTTAAGTAAGTCCAGTAAGTCCAACCCCACAACTTTCTGAAGAGTCATAGCTGACTGAATGAATTTCTCCACATCAGGAAAATATTCCCTAACATTGGCCTGTATTTATATAGCGCTTTACTAGTTCCTAAGGACCCCAAAGCGCTTTACATATCCAGTCATCCACCCATTCACACACACATTCACACACTGGTGATGGCAGCTACATTGTAGCCACAGCCACCCTGGGGCGCACTGACAGAGGCGAGGCTGCCGGACACTGGCGCCACCGGGCCCTCTGACCATTCACTTTTTTATCAAAAGTGTCATGCAGAAAAGCAACGATTTCCTCCAAAGAATGCAAATCTGCATTTTAAGACACACTGTCTGCTACAGAAACATTATCAGAGTCAGAATCACAATCCATGTCATTCATGTCGTTACCATTACAACCCACAAGGCGTCCTGTTCTGCTGCTCCTCCACCACTGGTTTATGACAAATCTATGGCCAACAATTAGCTGAACAAAAAGCAAATATTTAACTCTTAAAATGCAATTTAATGCAGTTTAGTTTATGAGATAATTTTTTCACCTCTGTGGATTTCATGTTGACGTTTTTCTTTTTCTTTTTTAATATGCAATTAAAGTGTGACCAGTATGGAAGCTCTGATTTGTATCTGAGCTGGTTCCCAGTAAAGTCTGAACTGGGACTGTGTGTGATGCAGAGAGATGGAGATTGGAGGTCTTGATTAACCTACAAAGCTTGTAATCATGTTTCCTGTTGTTTGAACTGTGTGTGTTTGTATTCAGACTTTAAACCAGAGCCAGACGTTGTCTACTCTTCACTGAAGTAGTCCACCAGTCCAACCACTGATGTCCAGCTGCTGTTCTCTAACTGTTCCCCCCAGCATCTCAGACCAGAGGACATCCACATGATACAAAAATGTTTTATGTGTTAACAAAAGCTCCTTTTCCATTAGTACCTAGTCGGATGGGTGCAGCATGTTTTGTCAACGTTTTCAAGGTACTTGTTAATACCTGCTCTGCCTGGTTTCCAAGAGAACCGAGCAGGTAATTAAATATGACATTGTCAGACTACTTCCCACTGATTTTCTGGTTAGTAGCATCACTCAATGTGTCACAATCGCGTCTCGTTCACAAAAATTTAGGACGTTGAATTTTTTTAACCCAGCAACAAGAGAAATGGCTACAAAAACCAATGCAGTGTTTCCCTAAGTCTGACTAAAAGCTTCAGACCAAGCAGAAGTTATATTATTGCCTCGATGTTCACCATTTTTGTAGCGTTCGCCTCCTATATAAAGGTAGAGGGATGCTTGGATGCGTATAACAACAACCATGCACATTAGATACTAGCGGATTGTAATGGAAAACCAGTCAGTCTGTGGCGAGTCTATCTGAGTAGGTGCTGTTGGAAAAGGGATACATATTTTTTTTTAAATGTTCAAAGTAGTTTTTCGCTCTTTTGGACTCTTCTGTTTGTTTTTTGTTTTTTTTCATATATCATATTTAACTGACTCGAAAATCTGCAGGGTTAACAGAAATATGTGAATGTGTTTCATAGATATTTATAATAAAAATATGAGATAAATGCCTTGCTCTTGTTCCCACAGCAAACGTGTTTCTCTGCAGGATTAAAAACCATTTGCTCTCTTTCGTTTCTCACGTGGTTCTTTGGGTTTCACCAAGCTGTACGATGGAAAATTTGACTTGTTCCGGTTTGGTTGTGGCTAACTGATGCAGACATCTTTTAACTGCAGATAAAAAGAAGAAGAGGGGGGAAACAAACATAAACATTAAACCACAGCAATAGAAGAGCTACAGCATGGAAATAGTTGCTACCTTGATGTTCTAATTCACACTGACACAAGGCGGCAGCAGCAGCTGATTAAGGAAATCAGAATACTTAATTAATCCCGAAGGAAATTATAGGTTGCAGCAGGCAGCGCGCTACGGTGCACGCACAATAACAAAGAACCTTCTGACCAAACTTTACACAAACATCACATTGGGAAGACATGTCAGAGAGGTAGGCTGGTAGGAAAAACAACGAAAATACACAACATGAGGTGAGAGGAGGAGAAAAAAAACTCCACTCAGACTGAGCTCCTAATGGGAAAACAGTTTGAGAACAGAAAAAACACCCTGGTACAAAAAGCACATGACTGTCAATACACCATAGAAACACAAGACAAGCAGCAGGGGCGGGAAAGGGTAAGAGAGAGCCGGTGTAGACAGCACATCCGGTCCTGCATGTCTGCACTGGTCCAGTCGACCCGCCATCTGCATTGGGAGGGAACAAGCATCGAAGGCGTTTGGAAATGAGCCCATTTTGAGAGCCCACGACTCGTCCCATCGTTTCAATCACAGCAGGCAGCCTTGTGGGGTTTTGAACAGCTGATTCCGCTTTCTTTAATCTTTGATAAGCCAGAGCCAAGCCAGCTCCGATCGGCAAGAACCCTGTTATCATGGTTAGGGTCCAGCCAGGCACACGACCCTCCAGTTATGCCGTCAGGCACACCTAAGCCCAGGCTTCTCATTGAGAAGAGGGTGTCAATTGCATTCAGGGACCATGTGAATGCAATTGACAGTTGATCAAATCCATAGTTCCTCTTTTAGGTTTTAGAGAACAGACTGTGAGAGAGTTTTCCAGGAAAATAGTAAAACATAGAGAAGAATAGACAAAGACACAGAAGCTAAGCAGGGAAGATAAGGGAAAGAGAGAGGAGAAAAGTGTGACCGCCTTTGTCGAGAGCCAAAGCAGAAAGTGAGAAAAATAATAATAATAACCTAAACCTAAATAACCTACAAATTATTTGCTAACAGATTCTTGAATGTGATTTTTTATAATTAATATTTATTACAAATCTCAAATTTCTGCCTTTTTTCTACTGAACAAAAACAAGTTAATTCCAACTTTCTAGCTAACCTTCGAGTTAACTTGACAATGAGGTGCTTCATTTTGATAAATGATAAATGATGTCTTTATTGTTCATCCTCCTGGGAAAGATTCAAAATAATGAAAAAACCCAGTTGACATTTTGCTTGCCACACATATAGAATAATTTAAACTTGTTTTCTTCAGCATGTCAGAGTTCTGTCTTTGACTGTGACAAGTGGAGTGGTTTCCAGCCACCACCCCTGTGTACTTCAAGGAACTGAACATATTTATTGCATTTTAGGGTTTCATTTGACAGAAAAATCATCTGATTCTAAGGAGCTGTTTTGTTTGTTTTGTTGCAGCTGTTTTAATTGTGGCATTTGTTTATCAGATATTTGTACTCACAGCTGATAAGTGTAGAGGACGGGAAAGTTGATCTAAGAGTTGTCCGTACATACATAGATAGATAGTTCTTTGTATTTTTTTAATTTTTGAAAAATGTACATGTTTTGTTTTTGTTTCCATAGATGATCAGAAAAGTCTTTGATGTTTTTTGATCATTTTAGACAAAGGGGGACGTTCCCCAGAACAGATGTGGTTTTATGGAGGCTACAGCTAAATGCTGCCTTCTCTACAGTACAACATAAATTTTATACATTGCCATCACTGACTGTCATTATTGACCTCAAATTGATTTTGAGGTTAGCACTGTTGCCTCA